GACCCTCCGACAGTGCGGCGCTCTCTCGGCGCTGACCCACCGACAACATTGCATTGCTTTTGAGATCAGTTGTGGCTCCTGCAGTCTGCATTTAGGATTCCTGTTCTAGCACCGTCGGATCCCTGTATTTCAGTTTAGCCATCTCTTTCCTTTTAAATAATGCCGAAGTGGAAAAGCTCACTGTTTTCTCCATTACTCTCCATCTCCCACATTGTTACTCACTCATTCAACCTATCTGCAGTCCCCTTATGTCCTTTTATTGACTTAGTTTTCTTTGTATGTTTGTGTTATCAGAAAGTTTCGCAACTCTGATTTCAGGCTCTCCATCCAAATAATTGAAATACACTGCTTTTCACACGCTGACAAAGTGAAAGCCATCCGTTTATGCACATCATCTGCTCCCTGTTAGCCAACAAATCCTCTGTTCATGCCCACAAGGTCTTATTTTATGTCATACCCTTTGATGTGGCACCTTGTCAAATTTGTTTTGGAATTTGAAGTACAATAAATCGACTTGTTTCCCTTTATTTACATTGCTGGTTCTTTCCTTAGATAACACCAGTAGTCAATTCCCATTCACAAACCGCGATGACTCTGCCTAATGAAGCAATATCAGTATGTTTGAAATAGTTCAGAGAATGGTCACTCTGCTGAAAACTGGGATGGTGGGGTTATTTATGAGAAAAGGGTCGGTGTGGACTTGTTGGGCCAAAGAGCCTGTTTCCACACTGTAGGGATTCTATTCTATTCTTCTTAAAGTTTGGACTGGTTCAGCCTGTAACTGTTGGAGTTTACAGGGATGAGAGGTGTTCTTATTAGACCATAATAAGACCTCAAGCAATAGGAGCAGCAAATACCATTTCATCATTGCATTCCCTCTGTGATAAGTATATCTTTCTTTCAATAAGGAGACCAACACTGAACACAGTACTCCAGGTGAGGTCTCACCAAGGCTCTATACAATTGCAGCAACTCCTGACCTCAATTCCTGTTGTGATGAAGGACAATGCACTGTTTGCCTTTCCAGTTACTTGTTGCACCTGTATATTAGCTTTTAGCAACTCACGGACAAGGACACCCAGGTCCCCTTGGACACCTGCACTTCCCAACCTCTCCCCCTTAAAGAAATATACTGCCTTGTTATGTTTCCTACCCAAGTAAATTCTTTTACACATTATTATTATGTTCCATCTGCCATGTTCTAGCCCATTCACTGAGCCTGACCAAATCTTCTTGAAGACCCTTTGCTTCTTCCTTACAACTTACACAACCACCCATGACCGGCAGATTTGGAAATATTTCAGTGTTCCCCACCTCCAGATCGTTGCTGTCGAATGTGAACAGTTGTGTACCTAGCCCTGACCCTTCTGTTACCCCTTTAGTAACAACCTGCCATCCTGAGAATAATCTATTTATTCCTATCATCTGCTTTCTGCCTGTTAACCAATTCTCACTTCTTTCGGGTGTAATCCCCCAATCCCATGCTCAAATTTTATCAACCAACTTTCTGTGGGACCCTATAAAAGCCTCTGAAAATCCCAATACACCACATCCACTGGTTCTGCTTTGTCTGTGTGACACGTTACATTCCTAGAATAACTCCAACGGGTTTGTTGAATGTGATTCCCCTTTCTTAAATCCTGCTCAATATTGCCATTCTTCTAATGTTTATGATCACATCCTTTCTAATCTTTTCTGCACTATGGATTTCAAGCTGATTGGTCTGCATTTTTCCACTCTCCTTTTTCTCCTCTTAAATAGTTTACTTTTGATACCTTCTAGATAATGGAAACTTTCAGAACAGTGTTACTAGTGATAACCGCAGTCTCTGTTACTACTTCCTTCGACTGTCTGAGATGAGGCTCATCTGGTCCCGGAGAATTATCAACCCTCGATCCAGCTGGATGGAGGGTTTTGGCCCGAAACATTGACTTCCCTGTTCCGCAGATGCTACATGACCTGCTGTGCTTTTCCAGCTCCACAGTTATTGCCGCGATCCGGCTGACTTTTTGAGCTACCTTTTGTTTCGTACGTTTGTTCTGGACTTCATAGGCTGGCCAGCATTAATTGCACATTCCTAATTATACTGAAGAAGCTAAGTTGCCTTCCTGAAGTGCTGCAGTCAGTGCAGACTGTTATCTGTGAGGTGGTGATGGCTGCTCTCCCTCGATCTGGAGCCAGTGCTGAGGGAACATTGCCTGGGCTCCTTATGGCGTCTCCTCCTCACACCCCAGACCATGTTAGCCCTTAGGGTTAACAGGAATCCCTGTTCTTTCTGCATACAGGACAACTCCCTGGTGGTTTGGAAAGAGATTGACTTGGCTCGGCTTTCGGAGAAGGAGCGGCGAGACACACAGAACGAGATCCTCATCCTGTCAGTGTTGCAGCATCACAATATCATCGCCTATTACAACCATTTCTTGGATGAAAACAAACTCCTGATTGAGGTGGAATACTGCAATGGTGAGTGGGGGCAGGATATTCTTAGGGGACACGGCAGAGGGAGTGCTGCTGTGGGGAGGGGGAGACACCGCCGTGGGGAGAGGGACACTGTAATGGGGCCATTGGCTATAGGGCACACAACTGGTGGGGGACAATGCGTGTGCAGGGGAACATGTCAGCAATTGAAGTGTAGGGGAGGCACCATCTTAAAAGCACTGCAGAAGGAGGACTGGTGTGCGAGGGACACTTTGATAGGCAAGGAGGTATTGCTGGGGAGTTATTTCGGTGTTCTGGAGTCAGTATTTTTCCCTACATCAGCATCAGCCAACATAATCCAGGCGTTAATCATTATTAACACAGTGTGGAGCTGGAGCAGCACAGCGGGCCAGGCAGCATCAGAGGAGCAG